AATAGCACCTGGGAAAATTTTAAAAAGAGAAAATTTTCCTATAAGCTATTGTGTGAGAAATGTGGAAAATTCTTGACGAGAACTGACATGTACCGCCATATGAGGAATGTCCATCACTCCTGTTAATGAATAATCGGGCTGATTAGACAATTGCGTTCACATAAATCATCTGAGCATACGTACAGATGCCTACAGATCGCGCCTACAGATGCCCACAGATCCCTACAGATGCCTACGGAGGCCTACAGATACCTACAGGAGCCTACAGATACCTACAGATGTAATCGGATGTTCATTTGTATATCAGACACCATAGCGTTCACATCATGGAGCCCCATTCATCAGAGCAAGCATTAGATGAATATAACTGTGCAGATTATGATAATGCTTATGGACCGAGATATGTTGATGAACACTCGGCCATAAGAATCTACGCTTTGATGACAAACACATAGTCGTAGATAATGTCGATTCGAAAACTACTTTGGAATTATTATTTTCCAAGAACCCTCAAAATTACACGCCTTTGGATCACCAGATGTATAAACAGATGCTGGAAATCAGCGCTATTCATAGAGATCGATTAGGCCGGATAAACTGATGAGAAGAAATTCAATAAAGTTATCAAACCACTCTTCACAAATAAGACCCAGTCTAAACGCTTGAAGTCGAGAGTGGAACCTGAAGTCAGTAGTGGGAATGACGAGTTCAATATTTTAGATGGATGAACAGATCCGAATGTCTTGGTAGATAGACTGAGATATCTAATGAAATATCACAAAACAATGAAGAAATCAACCTTATTCTCACTGAACTTGAAAATGCTGGCATATCTAAAATAAATGATTGAAAATTATCCGTCTTTTATTGTTATTTGAGAATAACACGCAATGACTAGTCAACTCCACTTACTTCAGTCGGTATTTGTTGATCAGACATGTGACTATATGATTTTGAAAAACACCCTGTATAACGACTCATAGTGAATTAGTTGCGATTTTGAATAAAACAATAAATTTTTCTCAAATCTTTTTTATTATGGATACCTATATACATCACAGAACCATTCATATCACCATAATTAATACACAAACATTTTTCAAATAATTTCACAGATCCAATGTCTGAACAAAAGGCTGAAAATTGATACATCTTCTTGATGTGTAGTATTAGTTTAGATGCAAATCCTCTTCTCCGATACTCCATCATAGTATAGATAAAATTTAGAGTTTTCGGTCTATTATGTTTTCCCAAAAGGTCAAAGTTCATGCTAGACATTTGGGAAAAAGATGTCGGAAACCCGTCCACATATGTATTATATAACAGGATATGTTCTGATCTTGGTGCCAGTGATCGATCATTACATCTGTCATGACGTCATCATCTTCCACATGTAATTGCCCGATTTTCTTTACAGCTTTTGATCCATGAAAGAATAGTATTTTTTCCATTGTGTAGATTGACTGAAGATGCGATGTTAACTCACTGACTGTCTCCAACTGACTGACATTTTTACAATGATAATCACTCTAAGAGTCACAAAAATGGAAAACGAGGTAGCGACATTTCTTGCTGACCCGCCCTGTATAGCAGAAATATTTTTCAGTGTGGGATATTGAATATCATGTCTAGGACTAAAAACAGCTCTTGTTTCAGCTTGAACAGCTGTTTTTTGTGTGATTTCGATAGTTCCTTGTATCTCATATGGAACGATAAGAAAATCAATAATAATAGGATTATTTCCTCTATTGTCCGTTAATTGTAGTCTATAACTCAGCTGATTTGATCATCTCTCTAGGCTATGAAAGAATATGATTTTCTGTATACGCCAAATATAGAACAACCAAGATAACGGCATCCTGTTTGAACGCTCCAACTTGAACAGCTGTTTGATTTCGGTAGTTCGTTGATTTCGTGAAAAACGATAAGAGAACCCGTGTATGTCCTTTATACTCACTCGTTAATTGTTGTCTATAGCTCATCTATTGTAAGAGTATCAGATTTCGAAATATTCGGCGGATTCAGTGGAAGATAAAATGCATAATAATGCTTGAATATAATATGCACACATGAAGACTATTTTTCATATAAGCCTCTCAATGTATAGGGTGAATCAGTCAGTAGTCGGACAGTGGACTGAGTTTTACAAAAGAATCATATTATGTGATGCATGAAAGGAATGCTCAATAGATCATATCAATAAGTCAAAAAGAAACAACAAATTGTGTTCTTCTTTCATTAAAATAAATATCTAGTAACCGGCCACCGACACTCACTTTAAAATTTCAGTAAACATCAGTTTCAAATGATCTTAATGCAAATTAAGACTATTCATGACGAATACAAAATCAATATGAATTCATAAGTTTGAAATATCCTTTGCCTATGTTTGATACACTATGTTAAAGACAGTCACGCACATCACTGAATTAGCGCGCTATTATAATTTCAATAGCACCAACTGCTCAATCGAAAAATGTCTAGAATGGCGCGGAAATATTGGTGCTACAGATTTCTCTTCATTTGGAGGTAATATGTTATTTCCAAGCAAACTTGAGAAAACTGTGTTTCTATTTCAATAGAGTGGTCCTTCATGAGGCTATTACTTCAAGGAATGATCTTCGATTCTCGTTTTCGCGATAGAGGGTGTTGCATAAACTTTTTGAAATAACATTCACGATGGCCTAATGAATGCTCTGTTTTGAAAAAACAAAAAATAATTTTCTCTGAAATTGTTCTAAAATTGTTCTATCTTTCATTCGGTTACTCCCCCTAACGAGCAACCCTCAGAAGTCTTCAAGAGACTAATGCGAGCAAGGAATGACAGGGACCTTATACCTTTTAACGTGTGATCCCAAAACACTTTCTCTGGCCATCAGAAAAGTTTCTGTAGTCGCTGAGAATCGAACCCACGGCCGGTAAGCGAATGCTGATTATCAATATTGACACTCTGTCCGCACGGCTACCTGGCCGATATTTTCAAGAGGAATGGCTGATTGAAACATTAAAGCGACCAGAACGAATAGGAAAGCGCTATAGAAATATAAAAACTTACTTTTCTTCAAGATAAAAGGCACAAACACTAAATAATTGGTCAATTGGTGTTGAACACTATTCGAGATACTCGAAAACTTGATGCGTTGGTATCGAATGATTCGTCTAGATACGGTTAGCACATTTTATACTCTCGAGCTATCCAATTTTTTGCATTTCCAGCGAATGTCGGCATGTGGCTGCAGATAACAGCAATCTGAATTTTTCGCATTTCCAACGAATATCGGCATGTGACTACAGATAACAGCAATTTATGGATGGATATCGACGGATATATATAGGGAGATATTTATTCGTCTAGATACGGATAGCACATTTTATACTCTCGAGCTATTCAATTTTTTGCATTTCCAGCGAATGTCGGCATGTGGCTGCAGATAACAGCAATATAAATTTTTCGCATTTCCAACGAATGTCGGTATGTGACTACAGATAACAGCAATCTATGGATGGATATCAACGGATATATATAGGGAGATATTTAGGAAGTATGTCAAAGCAATGTTTATTAATCATAATATGTCAAGGTTTATGATGAAATAATCATTATCTATTGGTGTAAAATGCATAAACCACCGGTGCATCGTTATCTTTTATATATTCAACATTTCCTTTATGTCTATTTCAGTATAAATAGGCGAAACTTAATTTATTATTCATTCTCCTGATTCTTTGATGAATTCAATATTCTGAGTGTTAGTGTCTGCATTATCATCAATAATAGTAAGTACCCCTCTTTTCTCGATTACCTATAGTATTTCATGTCTGAATTTATTTTCTTGGTCCTTTGATTCTTTTGCTTTACGTAAATGACCTCCTGTCAGCACGAAACATCTAATTTTATATGCTGATGATACCACTTCAGCAACGGATGCTGAGTCGGCGGAAGAACTAATTTCGAAAATGAATATTCTGTCTAGAGAATTTACCTCGTGGTGTAGGAGGAATTCTCTGATTGTTAATTCTGCCAAAACCATTCGTATGCAGTTTTTCACCAGAAATGAAATATCTGAAAGTAGCAGAATTTTAGTAAATAATATTGAAGTTCCTTTTTCGAAGTCTACAAAGTTTTTAGGTGTATTTAGGACAATAATATGAGTTGGAATACGAATATTATTCATGTTTGCAAGAAACTGAATAGTGGTTACTTTGCTATACTGCAATTGAAAAATATCTTTATAAAGAGCCAATTGCTCAATGTATACTATGCTATCGTCCACTCGCATCTTTCGTACAATATCATTATCTGGGGTAGCGCAGTCGGCGCGTCCAGAGTTTTCATTTCTCAGAAGAGGGTTATTCGTTTAATCTTTAACTTAGACAATAGAGAAACATGTCGAAATCATTTTAAAAAATATGAGCTTCTCACATTTCACTCAATCTACATCTACAAATGCAAAGTTTATGCCAAAAGTAATTACAAAGATTTCGCTTTCAACTCAGACTATCACGACTATCCTACTCGATCTTCAAACCTCATGAGGCCCCCCCAAACACGGAACAAGTCTATATGAAAAAAGCCCAATGTACAAGGGAATCCAATTTTTTAATCATTTGCCGGTCTGTATAAGATTGGAAAACAACTTCAATTTATTCAAACATAAACTCAAGAAGTTCCTATGCAACGAATGTTTCTATGATACATATGAATTTTTAAACAACAAATATTAGATGTTTAGCAGAAGTTACTGTATTGTGATTTATTTATAATTTTCATATTTATATATAGTTCTTAATGTTATTTTATTCTGACGAGAACTTTCTTCCACTGACATATCCTATATCATGTTTCTTTGTGATCAAAAAGGATGAATGAATTTTTATTATTATTATTATTATTATTATTATTATTATACGAAGCATAATTATTCTAGAAAATTTCGTCTGATTCAGGATATGAATCTGATTATGATTTTGATGCAGAAATTATTGCATGGGCAAAGGGGATGTTGAGGGAATTCCCCCCTCAACTTGGGCATCAGCCTCCAGTTGTGTGAGTACATAATTTGATTCGTATGGTTGAAATATACCATTATGCTTCAAAATTGAGCTATTTATGATCTCTGAGCGCTTTGTCTAGATAACGAATTTCAGGTGTTTATGAATTCAATATATTTTTTGTAGCAATGATGAGGCTAATAATGAGCCAATAGTGATGTAAGTTCTGAAATTGATTCTGTTAGGGGTTTATGAATTCAATATATTTTTAGTAGCGATGATAAGCCTGATAATGAGCCCATAGTGATGTAAGTTCTGAAATTGATTCTGTTAGGTGTTTATGAATTCAATATATTTTTAGTAGCGATGATGAGCAAGAAATGGAGGTAGATGATGAGCCTATTGAAATGTGAGTTTCATAAATTTATTTAATCAGGTTTATGAATTCAATACATTTTTTAGGAGCGATGATGAGCAAGAAATGGAGGCTAATGAGCCTGTTAGAATGTGGGTTCAATAATTTAATTCAATTAGGTTTATGAATTTAATATATTTTTAGAAACGTTGATGATCTAGCCCCTATAAGGGATGGGGAAGTAATTTTTAATTACATTCCCGAGGGGGGGATCATTTATAAGTGAGTTTATGCAAACTGACTCTAGAGAAATGCTCATAATTTGATATAAGTTCAGGAGTGATTAGTCCGATGAGGCCATCTGAAGGATGGTCCTCGATGAAAATCTTTGAATATCTTTGATGTGAGTTTTGAATTGATTTTGCAGTATTTTTTCTAATCTCATATAATTTTGAGACTGCTTGCAGGAGAAAGCATTTTGGTAGGATATTGGCTCCATATTGGGGATGATATCCTACCAAGATCATGTTAAGTAGTTAAAATAGGACTCAAGGTGAGACTTTCTACTTCAAAAAAAAGTAACGAGCCATTCTTAAAAACTTATGATTACTCAATAATTATTTACCGCATCCAAGCTGATGAGAAACCTTTAATTTTAGAACCGTGTTTTCATATTTGAGCTCATAAACCTAGGAAGTAGTTCAGTCTTATAAACACTCATCGGACACATTTCAGATTAGGCATTCATTGTCTAATTGAAACTTGTTAATTCTCAGTTATTCTGAGTCACATGAATGCTAATAGAGATCGCATTAAATTAGATAAGGAATTCCTTAGTGGAACTCTAAAATCCTGAACTATTTTTTTTCCTGACGATACCCAATAGAATTCTATTTGTGAATTCCTACACATTTTTCATATATTGTAACGGTCCAGTAGACTATATTCATGTCTACCTGTCCATTACATAAGTATTCCACTCACAATATGCTACCAAACAAGTATTCTTCATCAACACAATCACCAAGAACATAATGTAACTGTTTTCAATAACCAAATATTATCAGTACCATAGAGAAAAACCCAAAGTCAGTACCTTAGTAAATAAATTCCTTTTCGCGTTGGACGTCCTTCACACTGTATCAGCACGTATTTAATATCCAGATGCCACCTGTGAAGGATTTCATTTCATGATGTGTTTTCAAGTCCATGTTTATTTTTGGTAAACAATACAATACTCGCGATCAGCTGACTGAGCCATTAACCTCAATCCTGATTCTTCGTTTTAAATTTGCACGGCCTCAGCGTAAAAATAACTTCTACCTCATTAATCATTGGCAATAGTGAACTCTGCGCAATCTTCAAGCACTCAGCCTAGTTCACACCACACTCGATAACCTGGAACGGAACGCGGTTCCGAAATGTCAATTACAACTTGTAGCCTATTGTAATAGGGATTCTTTGAGATGATCGAGTAGTGGAGGAATGAAACGTTCTCTTTCTAATGGCGATTTGCTGTGTTAGCATGCCACCTTTTAAGCTGACAATTGATTTTTTCAAAATGCACGTATTTTTATGATGAAGGCCGATTTACAACTCTAGGCAAGTTACTAATATATTTATCTTTAAAATTATAATAAATTATGTATCGAGTCATATCGGAATGTCTTGAAAACACTATCATAATGATTTCATTTCAGGCCTTCAAACTTCACCTTTTTTTGTCACATGGTAACGCCATGAAATCTTCATGTGCTATTCTAAGGCGGCTGCCTAATTTTCCTGAGCCATGTACTATATTTAATGCTTATGGGGCAATAATGCATTTCGTCTCTCCAACTGGATTCCTCCGGATTTTGTATCTCCGTGATGGATGTCGGTGAATAAAATAATGTTCACCTTGTATGTTTTCCTGAACCAATGCTGAGAAGGTACCCAGGACTAATGGATTATGGAAATTTCAATAAAACCACTGTAATTTTCTGGAAATATTTGGTAGTGGCTACATTACAGTAAGACTGGTGACTTACCTACTGTAAGTAGATTTTTCATATAAATTTCAATCGTCAACGCGATGAGAAGAGGAGCCTCCACGTCTGATTAGTATTTATGATACTTCAAGTTCAATATTACTCTCTCCTTTTGTGAGAAACGGGATATCAGCGCTGATAGTTCATTTCATAGGGCCTTGTATCTTTTTCTGAATTCATAACACACCTTTAGGACATTCAGTCATTTCATTTGCCACTGAAAAGCCACAGTGAGGCTTAATTTAAGATTTCTAGTAATACTAACCAACATTGACTAAAGTCAGATTGTTCAAGGAACAACTGCTGCAATTATTCATAAGCTCACTAATAAATTCAGAGATAAGTACTAGTAATATTGTAGGCTTTAAGGGTTATGGTTCCCATTTAAAGTTCACTTAAATACTGATACTGTTTGAAAGCAAATGTAACTATTACTGCTTAGTATCTATTTATTATATGCATGGTTCCGAAACAACTCCTGTTGCATCGATATTTTTGTTTTGTCCCCCCCTTCCCTACTCCTTTTCCAGTTTATACTGGGTGGCGCCCACACTATCTTGTTTTGATAGTTCATGAAATTGAAAATAATGAATTAAAACTTGACTTAGTCGAATCCACGACCACTCGCCTGACTCATGAGCTGTCGAGCATTGGGACCATAATTTCTATTCTGTGAAGTTACGTCACATAAAATTGGCGCCACAACGTCAAGGGCCTTTCAATTTCATTCTGAAAATAATTCACTTCATGAACATTTTATCATCAGAGCAAGATATTTTTTCTCTGTAACCTTCCTTTTTTTTTCCTTGACAAAACAAAAGTATCACAGGATATACTTCTCAGTGTGTTTTGGAATTGATATTTTGTATTTACAGGATATTTTATATACGGGGTGATCACAGTGTGACGATCGTTAATTGTGTTTTTATATAATGCATTGAAATAATATTTTGAAAAATTTTTTGAATACCCATATCAGGTGATCTTGAGTGAAAAATATTTATACAAGGTGTCCCAAATATTCGTAAGATACTCGATAAATATTTTTGATTGGAAACTTTGGTTATCTGAGATACTTATTGAATTTTTTTTTGAACTTGCTTTATATACAGGATGTACTGCATATTGTGTTGTGAACGAGTGGTCATATTTTGCATATTAATTAGCGTGGTTTTCAATTTTGCAACAAGTTTTACTGAGTTTTCTTGTTTATAAAAAGATTTCAACGCCTCAATACTCAGTACAGGGTGTTGTCTGATTGACAGGCCATCGGATTTTTGTTGGTTGGAACTTTGAAACATGAGAGTCAATTATAATATAGATCCTGATCACCTTAGGACTAAGGAACTAAACTATGAACTGCTTATACGGGATGTTGCGGTTGATAGAGCTGATACTGATCAAAAGAGAAAATTTCTCAGAAGAGAGATTCGACAAGATTTAGCTAGACCAGACGTTGAATATACCACTCCTCACTTCAATTTTGAAACTGAACAATCTGAAATTGATGAAAGTATTGAATCCATTACAGACTCAGTAAACAATTTTGATGGTGTGAATGAAGAAATTTTCAAGAGAGTGAGAAGTCGCATCAATCATGTTTTAGGCCAGTTATATAGAATTCCCAAGAACTCTGCGGATGTTAATATTTTGAATTATAGAGGTGATAATATTATTTTGACAAGTACACTGGAGGGAGATTTAACTGAGACTCGTGAACAGTATATTAAAGAACAAACAGTCAATGTTCCTAACTTAAAACCAACACAACAAGTAAATAATTCTCCTAAATCAGTTCCAATTTATAAGTGGAGTGTAACATTCGACGGTATACTTAAGAAAGGATCACTTAGATCATTTTTACAGCGTGTGGATGAGTTGAGAGTTGCGAGAAATTGCACGAAAGAGGACTTGTATCAGTCTGCTTCTGATCTGTTCGAGGGTATTGCCAGAGAGTGGTTCAGATCCCAATCTAGACAGAATCGTTTCAACTCCTGGGATTCTTTAGTTAATGCGCTCCAACGAGATTTTCTAGCTACAGATTATGACGATCAGTTGTGGGAGGAAATACGTCATTGCACCCAAGCTTCTGACGAACGTATCGTTGTTTATCTTTCATTGATGGAAAACCTTTTCAGTTGTTCAATCAATTCTCCCTCAGAACCGGACAAGTTGAGAATTATTAGGAAGAATATCTCACCCTGCTATCAATCTCATGTCGCACTACAACCTATCAGTGATATTAAGGAATCACTAGAAGTATGTAGGGCTCTGGAAGATGCAAATTTGGCACAATCCAGGTATCAACCTCCTCCAAAGAGGAATATTCCAACGCTTGAACCAGGTTCAGCCTATTTTTCCAAATAATGGCGATTCAGCTTCTACTAGTTCTTGTTCACACTGTCACAGTCACTTGAATAATAACTTTAGTGAACCTAAAGCAAGCACTAGCAGTGCTCATGATAGATATGATAGGAATAGACAGTTCAATTCCTACAGAAATGATACAGAAATTTCAATAATTCTTCTAGAAATAAAAGCAGACAAGTTGCTGCGCTTCAGGATAGTAATTATCCAAGTAATAATTCTAGGCCACGAAATGATACAAACCAACGCAAAGAACCTTATTGCTTTGGATGCGGTAAGCCAGGTGTTATTCGCCCGAACTGTCCAACTTGTTCAAAAAACGAACAGAGGGGAAACACAAGATAGGTCGGTGCAATCCCTATTTATCTTCAAGGACCTATTTTAATAAATCTAAAATTACTCAAGTTGAAACTTTATCCTCCTCTCATAAAAATTTTGAAGTATCAAAAGAGAGATTATCATTTTCTGAAGATTGGAAACTCTGGCTAGCAAAAGTACGCCAGATGTATAAAACTCTGGTAGTAAAGAAGGATTTTTCTAAATTTAAAGAAACAAATACTGTTTTCGTCAATAAAGCTAATGATGATAGACCATATGTCACTGTCAAAATTCTGGGTAAACAAATAACTTGTTTAGTGGATAGTGGTGCAAGCCATAGTGTAATAGGAGGACTTGGTACTCATTTATTGGAAGTGTTTGGGCTAGCAATAATGGATTGCTCGGATGAAAGTATCAATACAGCTGATGGAGTTGCTCAAAAAATATCGGGATATGTCAATTTGCCTATAAAAATTGATAATAGTGTAAAACTTTTGAGAATTTAAATAGTACCATCTGTCTCTCATACGCTCATATTGGGCTCAGATTTTTGCAGAATTTTTAACG